TCACTGGAGTCCTCCTGTTCATTACAGTGGCCATCTCATTTATTGCCTAAAATATGAATTTCTTGAAAGTGAAAGGGGGCACTATTGATAATTATGCCAGGAAAATAGGAATAAACCAGGACTGCCTTAAGCAAACTGGGGCATGTAGTCACCCTGCTCAATGTGCAACACCCACTAATGACTTGATCACAAAATCTGCTACTGGCCATAGCAGCTTGTCCTGGGAACCAGATTTGTCCCATTTCTACCCTTGGGCATGCGTGGCTCCTCTCCTGTTGAAATTCCTGCCAGATTGGAGAGGACTCACCCTGTTTCCATTCCTTCCAGGATTTGAGCTCTCCAGCCCCCTTCTACCTTTCACTGATGCCTCTAAACTTAAGCCTGCCAAGAAGGACTGTCTTTGATTTGTCACAGATGATGCAGGTGGCGATGATACGTGGCTGTGTGAACTCTGGGTCCTGGGGAATGAACGATACCTGTCTTCGGATCCCTCCATTTCTTCTTCTGCCCCTGCTCCCCTCTTCCCTGCCACGTAATTCAGGTTAAAGAATTTTCCTCTCCTTTTCTTTAAGCTAATTGGGTCATCCCTTCATGCTGCTAGAACTTTACATTTTCTATGTGGGAGAGGTGGTCCATGGCTCAGGTCACTGCAGGACACCACCACTGAAGATCAAACCATTTTCACAACCAGCAAAGGCATATCATTGCAGCAATAGGGAGTTTTATGCTTGGCATTTGGGTGAGGAACAAAGAAAATTTGGGGGCACTTCAAATAATGAAAGAAAGGAGCAGGCTTTTGAAATGCAAAGATATAAATCCCTTTCCAGGAAGCAAATTATACCCTGGTACCTAAGAAAAAAAAGGGAGGCGGGGTTGAGGGTAGTGGGATGGTGAAAGGAGGTGTTTAATGGATGGAGAAAGATTCAGAAAGGTGAGTCTCAGATCCCTTAGATAAAGCCACCCATCTACGAGGCGAAGATAAGAGGAAAAGTCGGCGGCTGGCTTTATTCTTTTGACAAAGATGCACCAGTGTGGCAGAGAGAGGAAGTAAGAAGGTTGGTAACAGCTCATTCTCATTTACCACACAGCCTAAACTATTCTATCACTCACTTTATAAAAAGGCCTCACAGGAGACTCGGGACATACAGTTTGACAGAGTCTACAGTGGCAAGGAAAAAGGGGAGGAACACAGAGGGAAAGGGAGCTGATGTATTATTTACAGGTGAATAAAGAACTTGAATAAAGCAGGCTGCAGGATCAGGCCCAAAGACCTGTGTCTGTACGACTGTGGAATAAAGACAGACATCTCTGAATTCCTGCTGCTGCCCCTTTTGCTGCTGGAGACTCTTTCCAGTGCTGGGCCCGTATGCATGTGTCTCAGCTCATCGCCGTGCTCCAATCTGCCCTGCTCTCAGTTACATTTCCCTGCGGCCCAGAACAGGTAAAGCCCTCACCAGGAAGCTGCCGGGCCTCTGTGGGTACAATCTCATTAGGCTGGGCACAGAGGGCATCTCACTGGTGGTGGCAGGTCTAATAAGCATGCAGATGGAAGACACACATGCACACACACTCTCTCACTGAAGTCATGCAGTGGGCAGAGAGCAGGGATACGGGGGATTGGATCCAAAAGGAACAAAATGCTGCAGCCTCTGCAGTGAGCTGAGTGAGAGTGACAGGAGGACAGCTAAAGGCGACCAGAAGCAAAGTGTGAAAACACACAGCAAAAGGCACCGGAGAGCATATGCACTGGACTTCACAGCTTCCTCCCATTCCCGGCTTACATTGGCTCCATGTGCCGCTTTACACAGCTTTCTGGGGCCATAATGGGTTTTATTCCACGGTTTTTATACTAACACGAATGACTCACATCTGCTCCAATACCCAATTCGCTCTCTAATGACTTCGGCTGCTAGGAGAGAGCTTGTCAACGACAGGAGTGGCAAAAAAGAGTCCCAATTCAGGGACGAGGTAGGCTACAACCCCATACGTGTGAGCTGGAAGGCCTTTGAGAGGGCATGACGTTAGGAATGGGGAAACAGACCCCAGAAATCAGGAATTTGCTCCAGACTACCGAGACCAGAGGTCGATCCATTTTAGGGCACCAGGATAGTCCTAATTCAGAATGTTCTTATTTTTCTTATTTTCCTGCCATGTTAAATCTTTTGCTAGGAGCTTTTCCTCCCCATATAGGCTGTGATGAGAAAAAAGTAACTTGGATTAATCACCAATGACAGCTAATCCCCCACTGGGATTAACTGTGCGCTGCATTACTTAAGGTGGATATTAAAGTTTTAAATATCCGGGGGACCCCTGAATAGGCTGGGAGAGACTTAAAGGGCTGGACCCTGCATAGAGACTCACCTGGCTTCCAGATGTTTGAAGTCCCAACTGAAATCAGTTTCAACCCTAATGACAGTGACTGGCTTGACAACCCAGAATAATAGGCCTTTTGGCTGGATCAGGTAATGACACTTGGCAAAACCGGATTCCCTTCACAGCTTTCAGAGGCCCAGGGAACCTTCTCCACTTGAATGGAGGACAAAATAGTAATCAAGAAGCAAGCACCTTGGAAGGCAATCCCTGCTGCCCCAGGCATCACAGGCCCTGTATTGAGCTGCCATGGGAGACCCAAGGCCTGTTTCCCCAGATGCCAAACAGCACAAAGCACCTTACACCCTCAGCAGCAGGTGGTGTGGTTCTGCCCCATCTCTAAAGCTTGGCGGTGGTGTTGTGTAACTGTTCGCCATCTGTTACTCAGAAGCAGCATCACAAAGCGCTGAGCAGTGGACTATGGTGCTGCAGCTCCTGCCTGGAGCCGACAGCACCTCAGCGGCTTTCCTGGGGCTCCCCTGCACAGCCTGCCGCAGAGCACTTTGCAGGCCCCAGCCTGCAGGTCCAGGGTAAGGCTCCTGGAAGGATCCAGGAAGCTCAAGATGCTGCAGAGAGGGGTTCTCTTGCTGCTGCCCCCACCCCTCCCATGACCATGATCTACCTGGACCTTTGCCCAGCCAAAGTAGTGGCTGGGAAGCCTACCTCAACCTTTCAGAGTTCTAATAAAGGCAAATCCTGGACCATCCCCAGGGTTCTGTGTGATGGTCTGAGAGCTCAGCTGAATCTTGAGATGGGCCGGCAAGAGTGCTCAGCTTTTCTGGGCTGTTTGATTTCCACCTTTGTTCCCAACCAAAAACTTCTCATCTACAGCCTGGCCGAGAACACTCTGGGGCTATGAGAAAGGACTGCCCTGTGACTGAAAGACAAGGTACCAAACACGGGGGTTTCCAGCAGATTCCTCCATTTCTGATTCCACTTTTTGCTGACTCCATCTTACTGGAGAGTGAATTCTGGAGCTGTGCTTTACACCTGCGCTGCCTCCCCGTGCTGAGCTCTGTAGGGAGAGGCAGGGAGGATGATGGCCACGGTAGTAGATGCATCACTTTCACCTCCCCAGGCAACTTGATGAGATAAGCATCCCTCCAACTCAGGCAACAGACGTAATATGGCACTGCTCCCCAGGGAGAGCAAGGTTTCTTTCTTTCCCTCTTTGAGGGATGAGATCATCAGGTAACACCAGCACCTTGCATTTAGCTTTCACAACTATTCATTCACTTGTCAGAGGAGGTAGCATCATCCCCACATTACAGATGAGGAATCTAAGGCTCCGGGAAGGCAAAGGACTTCCCCAAGATTCACACAGCTAGTGTGGCTGACCTGAGCCAGGAACCCCTAGTCCAGTGGTATCACCATCATTCCAGCCTGGCTGAGACCCACATGGGAATCCAATTCAGCCTTTGCTCTGCCTCTGGACTCAAGTAGTTTTAATCTTCGAGAGGAAGGAGGATGCATTTCCAGAAGGCATTTGGGGAAAGGGGTTTTGAAAGATAACCCTCTGTGCTCAGTACCCCCTGCCCCAAAACCACTTTCCAAGAACCCCATGTGGTTGACCCAGCTTTGGACTCCATCCTCCACCCGCTTTCTGCAAGCACAGAGCCCTGGTCCTTATAGGGAGAGAAAACCCTTAAGGCAGATTACACCTTAATTTTTAAAAGGATTTCTTTAAAGTTAAATTTAGACCAACTCAGCGTTCCATTAAGAAGAAAAAGTTGCCAGGCACCTGCAGGCAGGCAGAGAAACACCCTGGGGAGCTGGCTGAACTCTGCCTTGGCCCTGAACGGCCAGGAGCGTGGCTTGAGGGTGGGGCAGTAGCCCAGCCAGCGGCCCAAGGTCTCAGCGTCAGCTCCCATAGGGCGGGAGCCCAAAGGGCGGGACCGGGCTGTGAGCGCCACGTGCAGACCCCGGCGGCGAGCCGGAAAGTCCTCCCAAGCACAGCTCCTCCTGGCGCCGGCTGGCCCTTGGATCCCAGCTCGCAGCTGGGGGTGGCGGGTCTCGGGGACGCACCTTTCCCGCCCCGCCCCATCCCGGTGTGGCCCGGGAGCTGCGCCCAGGGCTCGCCGCGGGCGGCCCCAGAACAGCACCCGGCGCCTCGGTGCGCGGGCGGCGGTAGCGCCCCCTCTCAGAGCCCCGTTTGCTCCTGCCCGGGCTCCCTCGGAGTCGGTCTGTCTGTCGGCCCTCCCTCCCCCTTCGCTCTCTCCCTTCCCTCCTCCGTCGTGTTCCTCCCGGGGTGCCGGGCACAGCCTCGGGTTCCTCCCTCCCCACAGCTCGAGTCAGTTTCCCTCGCGGCGGCTGCCGAGGCGGCGGCAACGGCGGCGGCGCGGGAAGCATCTCTGCGGCCACCGCGCTTCTCCGGCTGGAGCGGGCGTCCAGCTTGGCTGCCCCTCGGCCCTTCCCTGCCGCGCCTCGGGGCATCGTGTGCCCACCATCCCTGCTCTCTTCTCTCCCAAGCGGGCGGGGCGCCTGGCAGGATCCCACCGGCCCTCCACCCGGATCCCGGGGCTAGCGCTCCCTGGAGCAGGGCGCTCTGAGGACTCCTGCCCCGCCGACCCTGACCGCCAGGGGGTGCCCCACGGGCGCAGCGCCGCCGAGAGGAGAAGGCAAGAGGGACCATGCGGCGTCTGACTCGCCGCCTGGTGCTGCCGATCTTCGGGGTTCTCTGGATCACCGTGCTGCTGTTCTTCTGGGTAACCAAGAAGAAGTTGGAGGTGCCGGCGGGACCTGAAGTGCAGACCCCCAAGGTACCGGTTTGGCGGCGCGCCGGGCGCGGGGCAGTGGTTGGCAGGAGGGCGCGCAGCTCGCGCGCCGGGTTTGCGGGCTCCCGGGAAGCCAGGGCTGGGGTCTGGGTGCTGCGAGCAGGTAACCGGGCGCCGGATGCGGCTACAGTGTGATGTTTCTGGATTTCAAAAAGCTCAGGGGCATCCCCGGCCCCGCGCCGTGGGTAAGTGGGAGTGGGAGTGGGTGTGGATGGTGGGCGCGCTGGCGGGCACAGCGGGGCTCTCAACTTGGGCAGCGCGCTGGGGTCCCTGGGCGGCGGGGGCACTACGGTCGAGCAGCCCAGGGGGTGGCCGTCCGTGGACGCCGCGAGAGAGTCGCCGGTGGTGGGGTCGGGTGGCAGGGCCGGCAGGTGCTGGCGCCCGCGAGAAATCGGGCGGCCGCGCTGATCTCCTTCCTTGCCACAGCTGCCAGGCCCGACCGGGGGAGGCCGGAGACCGAGGGTGCGCCGCGCGCGCTTGTGCGGCGCGGGAGAGCGCCCTGCAGCCTCCCGGGCGGTTGCTTCCTTTCGCCACCCCTGCTTTGTAATTTTCCTCGATCCCTCCAGCTGCATTGGAAGTTGAATTGAATGTGCCCTGAACATCACTTAAAGAGCCTGTAAAAACAGACGCCTTGGTATCGGTGGGGAGTTGGGGAAATGAGAATCCAAGTGGCTTTTCCAACTCCTGCCCAGTCGGTTCATATGAGCGGAGCCGCAAGGTTCCGTCTTACCTTTATTCAGAGCCCCTATTACTCGGTCTCCTCTTCCACAGACCTGGCTGTAGGACACAGAAAAAGGAGGCCTCAGGGGGTTTCTTGACCAGCCAGGACACGTTTATGAACTGGGTCCAGAGAGGTCCTCCAGCGACCGCGAAAAAGCCCTTGGAGTAGATTTACGGTCCCAAGCTGGAGACAGAAAGTAATGGGGGAAGGGGGAGAGAGGGGAGGCTCCCAGTAAGTACAGTGCAGAGCACCTACTAGGTGCAAAGTACATAGTGGGTGCTTCTTTATAAGTAGTTGTATGAGTTGGGTAGGATTCTCCTTATTCCGAAGATTAGGAAACCGGATCAGTCTTGAAGTGCCTTGCCTTAGGACACTACCGATTTGAACTCAGACCTCCGATATTTAGGATCTTTCCACTATATCAAGTTGCCTTTGAGATTGCCTTTTAACTAAGTCTCTGGTCACTTATGTTCTGGAATCTTGCCAATGCTCTATTGAATTCCACAGTCATTTATTGATCATCTGCCATGTGCCAGGCAGTGTGCTAGGCACTGTGGGTACAGAGATGCAGAACTTGTTCTCTGCAGTAGGGGGATCTGCTCAGGAATAGACCAGGACCATACAGTGTGCTGAGGGCCACAATGGCTCAGTGCCCTGGGCGTCATGGGAGCCTGGGGGCTTCCTGGAGGAGGAGGAGGACATAAGGGAACTGAGTTGAGAAGGATGAACAGTAGGTTTGCCAGTAGGTAGGGAGGGCATTCCAGGTAGAGGTTAATTGCACCAAACAGGCTGAGAGGAATTACACAGCACGCTGGGTGAGTTTGGCGTCAAAGCATGTGGCCAATGGCAGGGATGAGGTTGGGAAGATGTGTAACGGTCCTGTTGGGTAGGACCTTGTGGGTACCAGGGGACCTTGGGGGTGTACTCAGCAGGGGAGTGATGAGGTCAGACTGATGATTTCAAACAGCCTTCATCCCACTGGATCAATTTTCTCACTCACCTCAGACCTAGAGAGGTCTGAGGTGAGCGAGATCTGGAGAGCTCATAGATCTGGAGAGCTTTTCCTCTTTTTCCCTGGGTGATTCTGCTTATTGTGAGGTTAATGATGCCTGTGGGGGCATGAACTCTCTCTGTTTTGCGTTGAACCTCATTACCTTAAGCTTGCTTATTCTAGTCTACACCAGGGAGCTGGGACAAGAGACCTGTTTCTTTCTTTGTGCACTTTGTCTGTCTTCTTTTCCGGCCTCTTCTCATCCTGGCAAGCGCTGAGCACACATTGATCGAATGCAGCCACAGGCCAGGCTCTGTGCTAGGTTTGGGGGCGGCTGTGCTGAGTACACCGTGCCCCTGCTGTTTGGCGGGGGCGGCTCTCACAAGTTCCTGGTTGAGGCAGAAATGCAAACAAATGAGTAGTGGCACGGTACGGGGGCAGTGGTCTAATGTCAGAAGTCCAGACATAGTGCTGTGCAGTCACTTGCTCTTTGTCTTAGTATCTTCCTTTTCCCTCATTTTCTGTATCCTTTATAACCATGAATTCTCTAGACTTTAAAAATCTTGATAATTCTTATTATTGGTCACGCTTTTTTGTTAGTAGATTTCTTCTTCCTGGTTTTCACCTGTATTATGCCTTTTTGTGTCTACATATATGTGTTGTGTGTATTCGTGGGTGTATTTTGTGTCTGGTGGATGAGCATCCCTCTGTACCTTAGCGTATATGTACCTGAGGGGCGGGATGGAGAGACAAAGAGAGGTCCTTCTTAGCACTAGAACAGTTGTATTCCCATGACTGATCTACTCAGGAAATTTGCATGTCAGGTCCCAAGGAGTGCGGTGGGTTTCCAAACCTGATTCCACGTCAGAACCACCTGGAGAGCTTGTTTAATTTACATGTTTTTGTGTTTATTGCAGAGATTATGATTCTGTGGGTTTAGTAGAAGGTCGTAGAATCAATATTTTTACAAGGGCTCCGTGTGAGTCTGAGGCAGCCTATTGATGGGTGGTATTTGGGAGCTAGATGAAGAATACCAAGTCTCTTGGGTTTTTTTGTAGTTCGGTGGGCCCCATGTAAATATGGCCGAATGACTTCATTCCTCTTGAGTTCCTCGTGGATCAAGCCTGTGTGAGCACGTGCATTCATGTGAAACAACAATAGCTAGCATTTGTATCGTGCTTTACAAATTCACAAACTTCATTTCACATATATTAGCTCATTTAAGCTTCACAATGACCACAGACAATAAGGCAGATCATACTTTTATGAAGATGAGATTGAGTAATGAGGTTAAACAGTTGGCCCAAGACAACAAGACTATTATTAAGTGGCAGCATCAGGACAAGAATGGAATGGGATTGTTCTGGCAACTGCTCACGCAAGTGCTCCTTCCATGCCATTAAGCCACATGGATGCCTGGGTCTGCGCTAGTGGGTGATGGGGTGAGGTTAGGGATGTTAATAGCTGCACGATGCCCACCTGCTTTCCAAGCACTTCCGTGGCTCATCCCTACGTGCTGGCTTTTGGAGAGCTCCAGGGAGGTTGGTGTAATTTGTGGGGAAACCATTTCAGAGGGAATCCTGCTCTGCCCTCGGGGGAGGTCATATGGGGCAGAGGAGGCTCCTCTGGCTGGATAGAGTGCACCCTGGTGGGGCGGGTCTGATGGAAGGTTGTGGCATCATTGCGGGGTTGCCTCAAATGGTTGCAGGTGGTTGCAGCACTGTTGGTTTAGGAATCATTTGCCAGGGCGGAGATTGTTTCCTCAACAGTAGGAATTATCCAGGGACATTTGTCGATTGTAGGAATTATCCAGGGTCATTTGTCGATTGTAGGGAAACATTTTTGGTTTTTGAGTGAGTTCAGTATCCTAGGTTTTCCTAGACGATGCTCCTGCACAGTCATGGGGAGAGCTCTTGCCTTGGACGTGTCTGAAGCCAGGGGTCCTCTGCCTAAGGCTCTTCCCAGTGTGGTGGAGGGGGTCAGTTTATTTTCAAAAGCAAGAGCACTGGGCTCCCTTCCCCTAAAAATATTTAGAGAAGTTGAAATGGTGGAGGGATTGGTCTAGAGAGGGCTATGGCGAGGGCTCCTGGGCTGGGGACTTGCCAACTTGTATATTCCATGCAGCCCGTTGCCTTCACTGGGGGCTAGACCCTTATTCCCCTTTCCTCAGTGTTAGGGAACATCCTCCTTCACCCGGCATGTGATCTCCAAAGTGGGCCTGAAAATAAAATAAAACCTATGCTCCGTCACAATCCAAGTGATATGGAGAAGCCAAGCTGCACTCCAGGTTTAAGAAAATTAGTTGGATTTTTTCCCTTAGTTTCAAGAAGGGCTGTTTCTATTAATAGCTCAAATAAAGATTTAAGTTTGACTTTTCAACGTTGATTTGATTTTTTATGGGGTTTCCCACCCCCAAATTCAGCAAAGCTCTAATTCCTAATTGAAAATCCTGTAACAAGCTTGATGCCTTAATTGAAACTGTATTTTAGCAATAAATACTGTACCACTAAAAAAAAGACCTGAAAAATGTTTCCATTTTTTCTCTCCCCTATCATCTGTTTGGTTCTTGGAGAATTATACAATAACTGGCAGAATTAAAAAAAAAACAACCCAGCAAATTTGTCTCTTATTTCCAAGAAACTAAATTTAGTGCAGGGGCTTAGGGCTTAGTAAAAGCAGAAGAATTTGAAGGCCTGAGGGTGCTTTTGGAGGAAGGTATTGGAAATGTAAAGGCTTTGAATAAAGTGCCTCAGGCCCATGTAAATGTATTTGCGCTGTACTAGAAATATAGCAAAAACTATTAGAAAAGAGCCTGTTTTCTGTAATATTTGTATATTGCAAATGCCTTATGTATATGACACTGTTATTGTATTCCCCATTCATTAGGTAATTTCTCCCACTCAAAAAAATTCATCAATTTTATTTATTTTATTTTTATTTATTTATTTATTTATTTATTTGCTGTACGCGGGCCTCTCACTGTTGTGGCCTCTCCCATTGCGGAGCACGGGCTCCGGACGCGCAGGCCCAGCGGCCATGGCTCACGGGTCCAGCTGCTCCGCGGCACGTGGGATCCTCCCGGACTGGGGCACGAACCCGCGCCCCCTGCATCGGCAGGCGGACTCTCAACCACTGCGCCACCAGGGAAGCCCCAAAATTCATCAGTTTTAGAGAGAGGCCCTAATAATATGCTGATGCTCAGTGGGTGTATTTTAGACTGTCCAGGGAATTTTGACTCTGGCATGACCAGAAATAGCTCATTATCTGATGAAC